GAGCTCAAAATAAGCACACAGCAATTCTGTTTTAGTGAACTTCTAAACCCATCGGATCAAAATCTTCTTTCTCAATCCGTACTGCGGTCTGTAATAAATGATAATACTGTTTCATAAAAAAGTATTTTAAAAAAGTTTTTTAAAATACTTTTTTAGATCCAGTGTAATAGCCAAGCCTGAATTTGAGTTTCAGTGGCACGACATGCTATGATTATATCATCAATATATCGGTAATATAGGCCTTTTTTGATGCTGACTATAGTTTTCTGCATCGGCCTTTCAAAGAAATACATGTATACATTAGCAAAGGTGAGTGTGAATGAGGAACCCATTGCTCCACTCCGACTCTGTCGATAATAAACTCCATCGTAGAGAAAATAATTGTTCTCAAGTACAAACTGTGCCATTTCCAAGATCGTTTCGATCGGAATGCCTACAATCTGTTTTACTTTGAGAATCTCTAACATCTTTCTAATTGCTTCTAATCCACCCTTTTGTGGGACCATTGTATATAAATCTGACACATCGATCGTAACGAATATCGTATCATTTGTTAGTTTAAATTGCGCCCATTTCCGTAACCGTTTGACCAAATAGATACCTCCCGTAATCGACGACCCTTTAGTCATTACATCAAACAAAGGTCGAAGATGTCGGTCTAAGAATTTTGAGATTTTCATAGGTGAAGATTTAATTCCGGCAAGTATGGGTCTCAACGGAGTATTCGGTTTATAAGGTTTTGGCAAAAAATACAAATGTGCCAATTCGGCTGTTACTGGATCGACTGACATTTCCTCCACATGCTTTTGTGTTATTCTCTTTTCTTGCCATAGACGGCGCAGAAAATGATTAGTTTTGACAACTAAATCTTGTAATGGGCTTTTATCCCCTATTACTTCATATGCATTAGTTTTTATCATGTACTTCTGCACTTTGTCTTTATAATCGGATGATTTACCTAAGTAGAAGACTTTAGATTTGTCGGTTTTTCGAAGAATCGTATTCGTCTGCTTTATTCGAAAATTCAACCTTTTGACAAGATGAAGCTTTTGCAGATTTTGTTTTCGCTTGAAACTACTCTTTTCTCGTTGATATTCTATTAATGCTTTTTCAAGGTCTTTGAAAAAAGCAGCCATCATACTACGACCTCCTAAGCTGCCTTTTCGGATGAGCTTGTTTTTAATTTTTTCACGAGCTGCATCCAGTTCACCACCACGTCGTTTCTTAGCCGTACGTGTATCGTTTATGACATATTTAGGGCCTCTTGTAAGGAGGTCATATTCTAGCGCGGTCAAAACCATTCAACTTTCATTTATTACAGCTGGAGCGTAAAAGCAGGAAGGAGCAGAGACGTCACTGGTCGAGCCTCTCGCTGCATTTCGGCTGTTACATGGACGATGGCTCGCATGGATTCGGCGTCGCGTCCCTCGTCTAAAATAAGAACTGATCTCTCTAGAAGACTATTTATTCTTCTTTGTCGAGCTTCAGAGTAGAGTTTATATAAATCGCTTGCTTTCGGCCCTTCGCTATCTTCTGATTCTGCGTTGGGCGGCATAGATTTTTCTAACTGTTCTATTTCGGTTTCGATTTGTACCAGTTCTATTTCAGCTATTAATACTAGCGTTTCCGATGCTTTAACCCGAAATTGTTCAACTACGGTGCTTATAACACGTGTAAGGTTCGCCATGTTATCTTTTCCAAGTACACGATCATCTAGACGAAATTCCAGAAGTCAACTCCAAAACTTTCCTAATCCAGAAGTGTGATGAAAGTGGAGAAATTTTAGAATTCTAGTGCAAATCCAATTTCGGTACGGCTCTCGCTATCATTTGCATTGAAATTTCTTCTTTAAGAAATTTAGCAGGTTTTTATTTCCCATCTAAAATTTCTAATTTTTCTTTTAGTATTTTTACAGGTGCTCGTTGTACTGGCGTAGCTATTCCCTCAAATGTTTTGAGACTTACAAACTCTTTGAGTTGAGCATACGCTGTATTTACACGATTAGCAACAAGTAATTTTTTGGTATGTATCTTTAGATATTCCTGTGTTATATTATCTGCAGCTCTTAAATGTAATTTGGGTTTACGAGCATTTTGTGCAGGAAGAGCATGTGCTGTCACGGTACCGTTATTATTATTGGTACCGGAGCATCATGATAATATGGTACAAATGCTATTAATTCACTTTGCAGTTTCATCACTGCATTCCCGTGATTTGAAATAGCTCTTTAAAGCTGAGATATTTTATCTATACAATACTGGTTGTTCACGGTATCGTCAAGAGTTTTTGTCTTTTGAGGTCATGTGAAATCTAAATATGTTACATATTCCGATTCCTTACGAAACTCAAACACTTTCTGTAATCATATCCCAATATTCTGCAGGCATGGTCTGCCTTCCTTATAAAGCAGAGAAGCAGACAATAAGGTTATCTTGTATATTGAATATTCAGATTTTAATATTCTCTAAGTACGATCTGTCTTCCTTGCAGAGCAGAGAATCACACAATCACATAATCTTGTATGTCGAATATTCCGATTTGGATATTCTCTAAGTATGGTCAGTCCTTCTCATAAAGTAGAGAATCAGACAATCAGATAATCATGTATGCCGATATT